CTACCTCTGACCTTCCATCAGTCTCAATTTTAAGCAACTTGGATCTTAATTCATTTGACCAGCATTCAATAGCACCTTCTAAGAAGGTAAGTCCTAGGCTTGCCTCCCTGTTTTAAATTCAGGATTACACAGAATAGAAAGAGATGAGAACTCAGGGAGGTCACACAAGATTGCCTGGAAGAGGTGGTCTGAAGCAGTGACACAGGAGTCAGCCAGTTAGAGTTTGGTGGGCAGAAGTGCCAACATCCATCCTTTGGGTAAAGCCCACAGGGGAGAGCTGCTTCTTGTCTACTGTACGTACGGGGGAAGCAGAGACTGCCCATATGTCTTCTGCTCCGTTAGGAATAGCCAGAACAAGCCTTCCAGCGGAGTTGGCCACGACAGCTGCCACTGAACTGACACCCAGCATGGGGGTGGGGCGGAAGCCCTAGCATCCCCCCCATTTCCAGGTGTGTCACAGCCGGGGCTGTGCAGGTGTGCACACCAAAAAAGCCAACACTTGGTTGTTACCCTTAGAATCTGGCCAGATGGCAAATAAAAGTCTACATTTCTAGTTCACTTGAAAAATCATGGTTCTTGTCTCACCAGTCTCCCATGATAAAGGAGGAGGGTATTTTTCGGAGGAGGTTTCCTCCCCTCTACGTTTACTCCTTCCTCTCTCCAGCTGTCTCTACTTGTTTATTGTCTAGTACCCACCAAACTTTAAATGGTGCCTCCCCAAAGATACTGGAAAATAAAGTCGTTCTCCCTCCAACCCACCCAGCTATTACCTCCCCTTATCTGATGTGCTGTAGGCAGCCTGTCCGGTTTACTGGACCAGGGTTGCACTGAGGCCCGCGCCTTGTACGGGGGTAGGGACTGGCAGAGCCAGGTTCTTGCTGGGAACCTACTGACGTGGAGCTGCTGGGTGGTACTGAGCTGTTCTTGGTTTTGTTTTCTTTTTTTGTTTTGTGGCACTGGGATCAATTCTTAAAGCACGGGAACAGATTGGATTCACATCCAGGGCACAGTTTTGTATAAGATCACACAGGATTATTATCAAGGACCCTGCAGCCTCTTAGCTGAATGCCAAGGTTTTTCTGGCCAGCTCTGCAAAGAAAAGATGTGGAGAGAAAGCCAGAGAGCTCAGGCTTGCCCTTCTCGGCTTCCCTGTTCTGGAAGGGTGAGCACATGGGAGTGAGTCCACAGGCCGTAAGAATGGAGCTCAGCAGAGTTGTTATTGGAGCGCCTCCTTCCCCACCCGTTTTGTGTGTGAATGAGCACGTAGCCCAGTTCAGTATTAATCCACAAACAGACTGCAGAGCCAAAGAGGTCAGGTGCCTAGCAAGGGCACTGTAGTTTTCCACAAGAATGACAGAAGTCAGCCATGAGTTCCTTCAGTTAACAACTGTCCCCTGGCAGGTACTTGTAGAATGCCTACTATGGGCCAGGGTTTTGGATTATGAAGATTTTTTTTAAAGTTGGGATTTATCTTTCTAGGGCAGAGACCACACCATAGGCAGCTTTGAGGGAGTTAGATGTAGCCATTCTTGAAGGTACTAGTTGATACTTCCACTTAATTCATTTTAGTACTGGAGATGGAACCCAGGGCCTTACGCATGCTAAGTGTGCTTTCTATCACTGAACAAGCACTATTACTTTGTAATGGTTTCCACTATCAGTATGCCAGCATTTTTCATCTCAAGACCAAGTCAGAGCCCCTGAAGACATGAGGTTCCCATCTACCAGAACAACACTTTCATTTATTAAGTACTTCAGTGTGTTAGGACTTAGTCTAAGTGATTTATGAACCTCATTCCATCCTAATAACATTATGAAATGGGTTCCATTATCAACTCCATTTTACACCTGTGGAAAGCGAGGGTTTGTTGACAACTTGCATAGTCAGTAGGTAGGTGGGTAGCAGAGCGGAGATTAGACCTCCCAGGCCACTGAGCACCAGACCCTGAGCTTCTGGCCTCTTTGAGGGTTGCTTGCTATGCTTGGAAGTTGAAACTTTAACTGGCAGGAGTTAGGTCCAAGCAAGAGCAGATCGGCTACCTCACTCCATCCTCCAGCCCAAACGACCTTTCAGCTGAACTCGAAAAGAATGGTAATAATGGTGCTAATTTGCCCTCCAGAGATTGCCAGGGTAATGAGGATAATTTAGAATCAAAAGAAAGAAAAAGAACAGAGGTCATTTAAACCACCCTCCTAATTTCCAAGACAGGAACGTCTGAGGGGCTTGTTGAAACTCACACCGACTAGTTCCTCCCAGCCTGGAGCTCCTGGGTTGCGTCGCTCCTGGTGGGGTCAGGGTTGCAGTGCTGGCCACGAGGGCAGGACATTTGAGTCCTCACTATCTTTCCTTAGCAAAGGCTGCTGTGGAAGCCAATGCCAGCCCCACCAAAGTGGTTTCTTCCTCCTGGGGCTTGTTTGTTACAGCATAGAGGAGTCCCCCACCCGAAACTCCTTATCAGGAGCAAGATGGGCTCTTAATCTGCAGCTGCCAGGGCCTGGTCTACATTGGTGAGGTGCATTATCATCCCCAGTCAGCGACTGAGCACAGGTCTCCAGGATGGCCCTGCGGACCACACAGGGAAGCTGGAGACAAGGGAGGAGCCAGCACCTGGTTCCTGAATACAGAAAGGCACTCTCTGCTCCCACTGATGCTGGCCAGGTCTAAAATAAACAGGGCCTCGCTTGATCCCAGAATCCCTTCACACAAGCAAATTGAAAGCAACCCCAGTACCTATCTGCCATTCTGTAATGTCCCTGGCTTGAAGACACAGAGGGACGGTGAAGTGTCTCTCTGCTTCCCGAGTTACGGGCACCCAGTACACAATAAAGTGTCCTTTATGGGCGAGGTGAGGTGGTACATGTCTGTAAGCCCAGCACTCAGGAGGCTGAGGCAGGAGGATTGCTGTGAGTTCCAGGTTAGCCTGGTCTACAAAGTACATGGAAGGCCAGCCTGAACTGCATAGTGAAATCCTGTATCAAAAGACAAACAAACAAGGGGCTGGGAATTTAGCTCAGCGGCATAAGCACCTGCCTTGCAAGCAGGCGGTGGTGAGTTTGATCCCTGGTACCGATAAAAATGAAAAAGACACACACAAAAAAAGACAAACAAACAAAAAGTCCTTAGCCGATAGGGCCTGGCAGGAAACAGAAAGCTAAGAGATGCTTTCTTTTTGGTACCAGGAATGGGACTCAGGACCTTACGCTTGCCAGGTAGGTGATGTGCCACTGAGCTACATCCCTGGCCCAAGATGTTGGCTTTGACCTGAACTCTCAAAGAGCATAGCATATTAAAATGGGCAAAATTCTTAGACCCCAGCCCTGTCCTTAAACCCAAAAGAGTAGATCCTTTTACATGCATGCCTAGATTATTTGAATTAGAAACTAGAAGTGAAAATAGGACTATTCCTGTAAATATCAATCTCTTGATACAAGTGGGTCCCAATATCTAATTCTATTTATGATATAGATCCCCTTGTCCCCCTCCATCCCTGGCTGTGGCCTCCACTACCCTCCTTGCCCAGTACAAGTACATCACACCCAGCCTCCCTGCCTACTTCTGACCTAGCATACTTAGAACTTATTGAATGTTTGCTTTGGAAGAGGATGCCAGTGGTCATAAATTGTGCTTAAAATTTAAATATACTATCTTCCTGCCTTAGCCTCCCAAAGTGCTGCATTTGTAGGCATCCACCACTACTCCTGCCTTCAAAAACTGTTTTTCCAGGCATGGTGGCACCTCTAAGCCCAGCACTTAGGAGACTGAGGCAGGAGGATTGCCATGCGTGGACTACTTAGTGAGACTTTCTCTCAGAAAAATAATAATAACAATGCTAACATAATACTTAAACACAGCCCACTGTTGGCCAGGAAAAAAATCAACCCATGTCAAAAAAAATGTGCCTGTGACCTCAGCGGGAATTGAGCATCTATGTCAAAACTTCATGGAAAGAATCCAAGTTGGGGATGAGAGACAGCTCGTTTCTTTGCACAGATCCTAATTCATGCAGCCAAAAGGAGTTCTACATTGGTAACAGCCTTTGTCTCTTACAGCCGTGTGTGCTGGCAGAGTAGCTGCTCTTTAGCTAACTCGTGGCGTTGGCATTCAGCCACACATCTGACCCAAGGCCCAACTGCTCTTGTCTAACAATGTGAGACTGGCAAATAGTATGAGAAGAAAACCTTTACTAGAACTGCAAGTGACCTTTCCCCAACCTGCGAAGGCCTTACTGGCCCATCTACCACCGTAGGTCTTAATCATTTTCAGTGTTTCCGATCACTAGCACTTAGTATAATTAGTCCTCTCCTGGTCATACAGAATTGGTTCCAAGATGATCGTATGCACATGCCAAGACTTCTGTATGCTAGTTTCTTCTGTAAGATGGTACAGTATTTGCATTTAACCTACATGTATTCCTGTGTACTTTAAATCACTTCTACACTACTTATAACACCTAATACAACGCAAACACTATGTAAATAGTTATGGCTTATTATTTGAGAATGACAGGTAAAAAAGCCCGTACATGTGCACTTAAATGCAACCACTGGAAGCCTAACTACATGAATTGTTCAAACAACACACGCTGGAGAGCAGAGTGTGGAATCCTGGGCAAGTGGGCCTCTCTGCATTCACATGGGTTAGCAGCATGGTGATCATGTGGTAAATTTCAAGTTCTGCTTGATGGGATTTTCTGGAATTTTCTTTTCCTGAATAATTTTAAGATGCGGTTGGTTGAACCTGTGGGCATATAACTCATGGATCCAAATTGAGTGCATAGAACTAAGGACAGTGAAGAAGCAGATACATTCGATAGAGCCCCAGGAAGACACCAGAATAGACTAGAAGCCAGTTACTCGTAGCATTCTCTCAGGGAGCTTCTAGGGAAGACCAGATGCCTGGACAGAGCCAGTCACACACCTAGAGTTATCGTTCAGACCATCTACACAGTACTGGCTGCCTGAGTGCAGCTGAAGAGGAATACAATGACACATGCAAGAAATTTTACCTTCTCTCCATCACAGACTTCATCTGCTACATTTTTATTAAAGTAACAAAAAAAAGTACATTTATCCATAAAGCTGTACAATCTTCCATATAAAAACACTATGGTACAATTAGTAACCTTTGTCTTTTCCATCAGAATAGCTTACAAACATACTATTATTTATTTTTACTTAATAGAGACAGGCCTGCTCAACAGTCCGGCTCTGGGGGTTTGTTGTTTTTAAAGTGAACATCAACAAAAAGAGAGAAAAGATTAAGCATGAGACCACGAGAGGCTGCTCCTAAGAAGGCAGGGACATGTTTGCACATGGAGAGGCAGGAACCCAATCTGCAGTGATTCACAGCTTTGTTTCAACCCACAGGCCAGAAAAGAGCGCCTGGGATTGTGGGTCTACAGTTAACCTTAAAGCAATAAAGACTGGAAGCAGGGTCAGAGAAGGCAGCAGAAAGCTAAGGGTTGGAAGGGAGAGTGTTTGGTAAGTAGCACCTTTGAGTCAAAACTGAGTATTAGGACATTCAGATAGGACTGGCAATAGGTAGGTAGGGGAGGGGAACTTGGAGTGCAGGTTGGGAGGAGCCCTAAGGGGGAACAGTAGGAGGGGAGCCAGGGTGACCAGATGCTCTTAGCTTTTGCCTTTCTTAAGGTGATCCATTTGGGAGACTCCAGGCAGTCTGAGGGCCCCTCATCAATGTCACTGAGAAAATGAAAGGGATTATCTTCCCAGTGTAGCTTTCTATTCTTCTCCAGTCCGGGACAGTAAATATTGCACAAGCCTACAGATAGATTTGGATTTTACTGAGAAGGACATCAAGCTCTCCCACAGGTACTCTAAGCACCAGGGAGAAAAAACAGTGCCAGAGGTTTGGCTTTTAGTGTCAGCCCCACAAGAATACCAGGTAGTCCTGCTGAGCACAGGCACTCTTTCCCCTTCAGCCCAGGAAGACCTGCAAGGTCAGACCCACATCGCCTGGCTACAGTCTCTATGGAGGGCAGGTGAAACGGGTCTCTAACACAGGATCACTAGCAGGTGCTGGGAGCCAGTTCTCCAGAGTCTCCAGGGACCTTGGGAATTTATTGCACAGTGATTAAGAACTCTTGTCTTAGAAAACTGGGTAGTTCCAAGACTCAACCAGAGGGGAGGGAAAGGAATATTGTGCTTTAGCAAAGAAGGCAGTAATAAAAGACCTGGAGTTCCTTATAGTTTTTGAGACACCTCTCAAAGGAATAGCAGCAGCACTCGGACTTTCATGTGGCTCCAAAAAAGAAGCATGTTGGCCAAAAAACATCCCCAGTGGACACTCTTTGGATCCCAAAATTTCATTGCAAATCATCCCCAAATTATTCGCCACACATACACACAAAGCAGCATGCAGCAAAATGAAGGTTTTGCACACCAAATTCTCTTCTACCCTAACACCAAAGATCTCCAACCCCTGTGTCAACACCCTCTTTGCCCCATAAGCTTTAGAATCCTAGCTGAGAAGCAAGCTCTACAGGCCCCTGAGGGTAGAATTAGAAACTGAATCTTGATTTCAAGAAAGGTTGTTCTGGACAGAAGGAATAAGAAGAGGCCTTTTCACTCTGCCCAATCTCATCAGAAAAATAAGAAAAGACTAGGCAACAATGTTATTGAAGTTCAGGCGAAATGCCCCTGAGTAAGAAGGAGCCAGGCAAACTCAAGTCCTGGTTGGAGAGAGTCTGAACTCTCCCACACCCAGGCCAGATCCTGACCCCTCTTATTCACAGTTGCTAACCTCACCTGGGGTACTGGCCAACCTTCTCTGGACACCCTGGCTTGGCCACTCCCCTCCCATAGGCAGACACTGGCTCACAGATTCCTGTGCACAACAGTTCTCTCCAAAGGCACCTGGGGAGGCCACTTCCTAGCAGCTCCCTTTAAGGATTTTTTTTTTCATATAAAAAACTTTTGGTTTTTTTTCTTCCTCTTTTCTTAAAAAAAAATAATATATATATATATATAAATAGCTCTTCATTTAAAAATAGTTCCCCAGGTTGAGGTATGCAGTGGCCTGTTGTCACAGCTCAATGAGTACAGTAGAATACAGGGTCAGGGAGTGGGGGTCTAGCTGGAGACTGCCATCACGTAGTTCTTCGAGGGGCTGCTCCTGCCCAGCATGATTTGGTTCTTACAGGTGAGGAGCCCACAGGAGGCAGCCACTGGAGCCTCCTCATACAGGACACAGATGGAGCCATCCTCTCCTATGCGGTAGGACACCTCGTAGGGGTCCACCCACAGGGTCAGCTCACTGGGCAGCAGCTGGTGTAGCTGGGGCTGGCTGAGTCCAATCTGGCTGGCCACCTTGCTGATGATGGGGTCCATCTTGTGGTTGATGCGGATGCAGCGGTAGCCAGAGCCCTTGGATGGCTTTTCAGGAAACCAGTGGTGTCTGTAGTGCTCTGAGAAGGGAGGACAACAGCAGACATTCCTGGTTAGAGAAGCCAGACCGTGGATGTGATCACAATCCTGGGGTGAGAGTGAAGGCTCAGGAGGAGAGGAAGGAACTCGACTATTTTAAGTAAGGGAGGTACTAATTTCTATTGGGCCCTTCTAAAACCCTCTTGCCACATAGCAGAAATTTCATGGGAGCTGTTGAGACTCCTCAGTCTTTTCCAGACCAGAGGGAGGCTGTGTGTGTGTGGGGGGGGTCTCAGAGCTCTGGGGTGCTTGCCAGTGGCCAAGTGGATTGCTTTTGGCACATCCCCTAGTGTAAGGAGGGAAGGGCGTGCCCAGGGCTGGTATGTTCTGGCAGGGCCTCTGGAGATCTGTGAGCTGAAGTTTCAAAGCCGTGAAGGCAGTCAACACTGTTGGATTCACAGCAAGTTACCAGACCACCTATCCTGTCCCCAGTGCACCTCCTGCCTTACTTTGGAAGAGTCTGAGATTCATGGCAATGGCCAAGGGACAAGAAATGAGTTGTTTTGGTGAAACAGCTGTTGCTCCTCCCAAGGCCAGATCTGTGCCTGCGAGTTCAGAGATGGCTATCACTGCCCCAGACAGCAGGACAGCCGCTAGAACAGCTGGGAGATGGGTCTCTTCCCAGCCAGCCTGCTGCTTATCTCTGGTCAAGCTCCCTGTCACACCCCCCCCCCCCGCTTCCCCCCAATACACACTAGCTACAGGCTTTCTTCTGTACCACAATAGGTGGCAGATGGCTAACAGGGACCAAAGAGAGCAAATACACAGCGAGCCTGGATTCCAGCTTGGGGTGGGCAGACAACGCGGCTGGGCCTCCAAGGTGCTGAAAAAGCTCAGCTACTAATACGGATCCCGGCCCGCTGGAAAGCCTGCAGCATTCCGTGAGGGTCTCGAGGTCTGAGGTCTTGAGGTCTCAAGTGTCGAGAGAGGAACTATAGCCGGCACTCTGAGCCGCAGGCACACCCTCTTCCGGGGTCTAAGCCGGGGTCTTGGGAACTCAGGGTTGGGTCTGCGCCCCTTGGAGAGCAGAGGGACGCACTCCACTGGAACCACCACATACCGAGACCCAGCATCCGGGAGGGGGAGCTGGCTCAGGAGTTGGGAAAATGCGGCTGTCCCAAGAGTCGAAAGACAGCAACCGAGTCGGGGAGAACCTCGCGTGGGAGACCAGGAAGAGGAGATAAGACAGCCCAGGCAAGGAGGACGCGAGTCGCTGGCTCCAGGCCCCGGCGCGCGCTCACCTGTTAGTGCCTCCTGGAGCGCCGCGCTGAAAACCTTAAGTCGCTGCTCACTCACGCAGCCTCGGGTCCTCAGGAGGCTGGAGAGGAAGCCCACGGCGGCGGCGATCTCCGGGAGCATGTCGGTTCTCTTCCCGTGGTTCATGGTGCTCGCTCACGGATCCGGGTTGGCAGCGGTCCGCCGTGGACTGGGCCAGCTAGCTGAGACCCTAGCTCCAGGCCAGCTCTCTGGGTTCTGCCGGGGTTTTCCCCGGCGCGGCCTTTCATACCGTTCGCCAGGCGGGGGGCCGGCGGCGACGCCCATTGGCTGAGGCCGGCGGATGGGGGTGGGGACACTGCCGCCCGCCACGCCCCCGCCGCCCCCGCCCCCTCCTCCCGGGCGCTGAGGTCATCGCCCGCTGACGTGAGTGCTGGGAACCTGCGTTGGGCTACGGAGCTCCGGGAGGCGAGCGGGGAAGGCGCGAGGCGGGAGGGGCCGGGAGCTGCTGGCGGAGGAAGCCGAGCAGAGCGCTCCGTGCCGGGCCTGCCCGGACCTCGCCTCTCAGTCCATCCGGGCTAGGGCTAAATGCCACCTCCGCCAGGAAGCCTTCGCGGACGCCGCCTCCCCCTAGCGGTCTCCTTCTCCGACTCCCACAGCATTTTTCCAGCCACAACCCGTCATAACCACCCACTTCCGACGCTTTGGCACCATGTTGCCGCTTTGCAGTGTCTTCTGTTTTTTAAACTAGCCAGACAGACAGAATCTTCAGAAGTGGGGAATGCACTGTTTACTCCCACAAGGCTTCCACCTCCCCCAGCAGGTTTGCTCTTGCTCTTCGGCAGCTCTCTGTTGCCTGAAAACATCCAACTCTCTCTTGGTGTAGGGATGAGGGGAATGTTGCAAGACTTCTACCCTCGGGTTGTTTTTCCAGATTCCACTTTCCTTTAAATGTCAAAATTTTTAAGCAGTCAGCTCCGAACTTACACTCCCCCCCCCCTTCCCTGCCCTTCTTCCTTCTCGGTGCAGGGAGTTGGCGATGCGGGCTCCTGGGAGAAAACACAGCCCCAGGCTCCCCGCTGTGCCCCCAGGCCCTGGCGTGGCCCAGGGGGCGGCTTCTAACCCGCACCCGAGAGCCCGTACCTCCCTCCCCCACTCCCGGCCGCCACACCTAGGTCTGTGTTTGTTCATCCAACCTCAGGGCCTCAGTACATTCCTGTTTTCCTTGTGATTCGCGCTTCTGTCTTTTGTCTGTGTGTTTGTATGCACGCACGCGCGTGTGTGCAGTACTAGGGAACTGAACCCAGGACCTTTGTATTGAGCTACAACCTGACCCCCCTCCCCACTGGCCTTCTCTGTGCCCAGTTTCTGGCCACAGGTTGGAAGCAACTTTCTTCTTGAACATATTCGAGTTTCTCTGCCTCCTCACCCTGCCCACTCCCACCCTAACTCCCTCCCTGCCCAATGTCGGATCCCCTACTTTTTTTTTTTTTTTTTTTTTTTTTTTTGTCTTTTTCCTTTTTATCGGTACCGGGGGTCACGGCTGCCTGCTTGCAAGGCAGGAGCTTATGCCGCTGAGCTAAATCCCCAGCCCCCAGATCCCCTACTTTTTCTAATTTTTTGTTTTTGGTGACACTGGGAATTAAACTCTGAGACACTTTACCACTGAGCTATACCTCCAGGCCTTTTCCTTTTTTATTTCTAGACGGGATCTTTTTAAATTGCCCAAGCTAACCTCAGGCTTGCCATCCTCCTGCCTCAGCCTCCATCATCCCCTGTCTTTCTGCTTCCGGGGCACCATGAGTTATGCAGCTTTTCTCCTCTACCTTGCAAGGTAGAGGATGTTTCTGACTTAGGCCTCTTAAACTGTGAGCCAAAATAAGCTCCTCCTCTGCTGAGCTGAGTCTCTCAGGTATTTTGCCCACAGTAACAAAAAGCTGGCTGGCATCCTGTGTGTTTTCCAGAGTCAGCTCCTTTCCTGACCTCCACTTCTGTCACCAGCACCATCTCTGCCCCGGTCACAGCAGCCAAGGACCTCAGAGGTCCACCCTCAGCCTCCCTCTCCTCCACCTTCAGATCCAGTCCTCACACCAGTTGCTTCTTCACACTAGGTGACACGGTGGGCTGTCTGGCCGCATCCCCACCACGCCGCAGAGCTCCGGCCCCAGGTACTGTGTCCCCTTCCTCTTCTGCCAGGTCCTCTGCGACAGCTCCTGTGTTTGTCAAGTAGTTTATCCTGGACTCCTTTGCCCAAGAGTAAGATCTCTCAGAGTTTATTGTTGTTTTAAAGTTTTTATTGGTGTATTTTAGATAGACACAATGATCATGTTCCTCATAGGGAATTTGTACCCCTACATGATATATCTTGATTCCTTTTTCCCCATTCCCTTCCCCTCCCTTAAACCCCTCTTCCCCTCCTTATTTCCAGAAGCTTTGTTTCCATTTTTGCCTTCTAGTCTCTTTCTTGTCCCTTTTTTCCTTTCCACTTTCCCCATTCCTTGTTCCCCTTCCCATTTGAACATTTTCTTCCCATTTCCCATTATCTATTATACATTTTGGTCCTTATTTACACATTCCTTTTTTTTTTTTTTTTTAAATCGGTACTGGGGATCGAACTCAAAACCGCCTGCTTGCAAGGCAGGTGCTTATGCCGCTGAGCTAAATCCCCAGCCCCTACACATTCCTTTTTTCACACTAGAGAAACAATATGATATTTACACATATGTGTCCGATTTATTTCACTTAAGCATATGGCTTCAAGGTGCATCCATTTAGCTAGAAATGTCTCAAGCTTATCTTTCTTTATGGCAAAGTAGAACTCCATTGTATTAAAAAAAATCCCACATTTTATTTATCCAATTATCAGTTGATGGGCATTTGGGCTTCTCCAAGATTTACCTATTACACGCTGTACCACTGTAAACATGAGTGTGCATGTATCACTGTACTACACTGCTTTTAATTTTTTAGGAAGGATACCCAGGAGGCGAATAATTGGGCCAAATAAAACCTCTAGTCCTAGTTTTTTGAGGACTCTCCACACTGATTTCCACAGTGTTGTACCAGTTGACACTCCCACCAACAGTGAAGAAGGGATCCTCCCCCCAGCCCTGTCAGCATTTGTTATTGATTGGTTTCTTGATAATAGCTATTCTTTCTGGGATAAGATAGAATCTCAGCATTGTTTTAATTTGCATCCCTTGAACGGCCAGTGATATTGAACATTTTTTCAAGAACAAGCTTATTGTGTTTCTGTTTTTTTTTTTTTTTTGGTGCTGGAAATCAAACTCAGGAGCTTGTGCTCTCCAGGTAAGGCACTTTGCCACTAAGCTAAAACCCCAGCATTGAACATTTTTTTCATATATTTATTTTGCCATTTCTAATTTGTCATCTAAGAAGTGTTTATTATATCAGATGCAAATTTTTGGATCAAGTCTTTAAATTTGATTTTTTTTGAGTACTTCATGTGTTCAAGATAGTAGTCCTTTGTCTGAGGAACATCTGGCAAAAATTTTTTTCCTACATTGTGTTTTTTTTTTCTGTGCCAGAATTTTTTAATTGGGTGAGATTCCCGTTGCTGATTCTTTGTGATAATCCCTGTGTGATTGGGGTTTTGTTCATAAAGTCTTTACCTACTCCCATGTTCTTAGGAGTTCTACCTAATCTCACATAATTTAGCTCCATCTACTTTTTAAAATTTTTGCCACTTTGGGCTTTAGAGTCACTCTCCTTACTCTCTAAATCTTACAGTAGCTCTGCATCCCAGATTCCTCCAACTGCAATTTCCAAGTTGGCCCTGTAATGTGGTTCACACATGCCCATGGTCCCATGGCTCGTGTCCTTAGCTCCTGGATTCTCACCGGCATCCTGGACCACTCTCAGTCCCCTGAATGTCTGGAGCCACAGTTGCAGCTTGGTCTTCTGCCTTGAACTCACCTAGTACTGAACCAATGCCCTAAATACCATTCATCTGGCATTGTTTTAGTTTCGCTGGTGATCCTTTTAGGGGTTGGCATCTTGTCCCATTGACAGTTTGCAAATTATCTGAAAACTGGTTACTACCACATTTCCAGCGCAATTCAGATTTCAAATACTCTCTTCCAATCAAAATGGCCTGGAAGTCTAATATTTTGGCATTAGATGTATCTTTCAGAAGGCTTTTTCATCAGCTCTTCCCCAAAATCTGGATCAGGCCAAAAATGACTGTTACCTCTGCTCATTGCAGGGAAATAACATGTATATGTATATAGGAAACTGGGCTGACCTTGGAAAAAGAAACTCAGAGGCGCATGAAACCAGAGGCCAGATATTAACAAGGCTGGAACTGGGCAAAGCCAATCACCAAGGAAGCCAGCAAATAAGGTCACAGTAGTGACAGCTCTGCAAGGTCACTCAGCGCCCACAATGAGCGCTTATCTTTCCAGGTGTATCTTTCACTAGTGTTCTGGGCCCCACATCCTGCAACCAGAACTGATGAAACATTTTTTTGATAAACTATCACTTTTTTTGTGCAGGAAAAAGCACTGATGTCTTTATATGAAGTTTTGTATTGTTCAGCAGGGTACATAGTGAGTTCTCAGGCTTGGACTCCTTGGTCCAAGACTGGACCAGTTTTGCTGACTATAAGTCCAGTGCCCTACTCCATTACAGGTGACCACTCTGCTGCTGCCAGGGCCCAGAGTCCCACACTGGTGCACAGAGCTGTCAGAGGACAATGCAGTGAATGGGAGGATACCCTGCATGTCTGAGCCTCCACACCTGCATTTCCACATTTTTACAGGGCAGAGATAATCCATAAGCACTGGACAACTGGTCCCCTACTTGCTCACCTGCTCTTCTCTCCACATGCAAATCTAGAGATGGGGAGCTTAAGTTGTACCCTATTCAAAGTTTCCAAGTCATTATGCAGCATAATTGTGTTCAACTCATGTTTTGGATTTTTTGCATCAATTTCTTCTAAGACCAAATACATTATAGGAGTCTCAAGTTTTTTGGGAAATTTCCCGAAGGTGCCCTTAAATTGACAGGATGAAGATCCAACAAAAGACAAGATTTCACCCTTCCTTTTCCATCTGCATGTCGCCGGCTGCCTGTCTTTCCTCCGTATAGACAGGGCACGGTTTGAATATCAGTGTAAAGTAGTGGTCCTTCTCTTCCTTCCGACTTTTCCTCTGGCCTCTCCTCCTCCTTCTCCTTCTCTTCCTCTTCCTCCTCCTCCTTCTCCTCCTCCTCTTCTTCCTCCTCCTCCTTCTCCTCCTCCTCTTCTTCCT